GTAACACTTGCTTTCTCATACAAAAATTAGAGGTTCCCACTGTAATTAATTAAATTGTCATATCTGTCAACAAGTAAAATAAGACAAGTCTCATTTGGTGCCTTTCCAGTGTAAACAATACAAAAATCACACAACCTTAGAACAGTTCTGGTTGTACAGAACCTCTGAAACTCATCTGGTCTAACACCATGTTCAAAGCATTGCCAACTTGAAAGTTAGATTAGATTGCTCAGCACCTTGTCCAGTTTTGAATATCTCCAAATATGCAAAATCTACCACCTCCCTAGTCAATCTGCTTCAGTGTTTAACAAGCCTCACTGTAAAAATTCTTTTTCTTTATATCTAGTTAGGGTTGCAATCTGTGGCCCTTACCTCATGTCCATGTTGTAAAAGAGTCCATCTCTGCCTTTCCCCTTGCCGACATAGTGGCCCTTTGCTAAGCTTACTCCAGTTTGTTAATGTCTTTCTTGTACTGGGGACTCCAAAACTGGACACATTAGTCCAGACATAGTTTCAGAAGTGCTGAAGAAGTGGGTATAATCACTGTTCTCACGACTCTCACTACAAAGCGGCTAATGCAGTGCAGTACGTGGTTAGCCCATACTGTTGCAAGGGTGCACTGTTTACTCGTACACAACTTGTCATCCAACATCCCTTAAGTGCTTTTTGTTAGAACTGCTCCCTAGACAACTGGTCTCTCCAAATTGTTTACTTTCAGATCATTTCTGTCAAATCATTTCTCCAGCTTTTTGAGATTCCTCTGAACGGCAGCCTTATTACCCAACATATTGACTGCTCCCTGCAATTTGGTGTCAACCACAAACTTGCTGACAGTGTGTTCCTTTCCATATAATTACAAAACAAATCACACCACTACCATTTTGTCTGGTAGAGCCAATATACTGGTTTCCCAGGTAATGAAAAGCAAAAGATTGTTTTGAAGGCACGCTTCTCAAGGGACTAGGGTAGGAGTTGAGTGACTACAAGGAAGGAAGACCTGAATTTAAATAGAAAAAGAGCAATGTTTTATATAAAAGCAGACAATGACAGCTGCTCTGGTCAGTAATTACTTGAGACTAAATGTGGACAGAAACAGTTGAAGTGCCTTAGTACTTCACTGAACTGAAATACATTGTTATCCCTAATCAGAAAAATCAGTATTAGGCTTACTGTTGAAAGAAGATCCAAGAAAGACACATGAAGTCTTGAATGTTTAGTAAAAGTTGATCTACTAGCCTACTTTCCTCTTTTCCTTCCCCACCCCACCCCTGAAAATGTGTTCTTATTATGCCTTATTGCCGAAGGGCAATACCCTTTTGATCTGGCAGCATTTCCACCCATTCTCATCTTACTCCATGTACCTGGAAATGTCAAATCAAACTACTACCTGTGTTTTAATGCTAGTGCACACAATAATCTTTTAATCTTTATCCAATACTGGGTAAAAGTATCAATTATAGAAATATCCTTGTCTCCTCCTTTGACTTTTCTACTATAGGATTGATGTAAAGAAGCCATAGTATGAACAGGAACTTGGCCCAAGACTTTTTTTACCCCCATGGAAAAATCAATAGGCAAGAATCCATCTTGGTTACCACAATGCCAGTCAGGAGACACCTCAGTAGCCAGCTGAGTTTATTTGCATTGCTGGAGATTACAATCAAGTCTCACTACAACTGGATGCGTCAATCATTAGCAGAGAGCCTTTGTACCTGGCATTCACATTGACTGCAAATTTCACGTATAAGGAGCAATGCATACAAAACCAATTTCAGAGTATTTCATCTCTTCCAATACAAGAAGTAAGAGGAAATGAAAATGGAACACAAGCAAACAACCTCCTTCTTGGAAGAATGTGCACTTGACAAATGCGCTGTTCTATCTGGTCACTATTTGAATTTTATAATACCTGTGACGCTGAGTCACCTGGTCCTATCAGGAAACCGAAGAGCTATAAATCACCCTCTGGTGAAGAGCTCTGATCACTTCCACAACCAGCTGAAGAAGGACAGAAGAAACTTCTGATCTTCCTGGAAACGAAAGGTAGAATTTAGACTGATTTGTTTGTTTAAAGTATTGAGGGTTTTTCATGTATTAAAATGCAACCTATTGCCAGAAGACTTCTTGAACAATTTAGGACAGTCACAGAAAGAGGATTTTATTCAGTGAAAAATAAGCATTACATAGGCAGTAGTGTAACATGAGCTGAAAAAAAGGGAGAGAAAATTGATGAACAATCAAAAACAGATGAAAAGCCATCTGTATGCAAGGAAGCAGTGTCTTGGCAGATTATATGTACATAGAGAAAGAGACAGAGACAGACTGAACATGTTGATTTGGATATATATTCAGTTCAGTATACTCTATTGCTATATGTAGCTATCAGCACTTATTTTCAGACTGGGGAAATTACTACTTTGTGCAACTTACCACTCTTGTGCAAGGTGGCTGCTAAGTAGGACTTTGTGCGACAGTGCTGTATAACTGAAATCACAGCTAGTATTATTCCATTTCAGGTGTTTTTCAAGGATAATAAAAAATAATTGGAATGTCCTTTCAATTGTATTCAATTGTATGAATAATTTAGGATACACCTTTTTTTTTTTTTTTTTAGGAGGAGGGATGGGAAAAACATATTCACACAAGTTTGCTAAACTATGAGTTTAGCAAATTCAAGCCAGGGATGCTAAAGCACCATCTTTCAGTGGCAGATCCCTGTACACAGATGGAGTTGCAGGAAAGTCAGTAAGACTTGGCACATGTCCTGATTTGTGTTTGATTGAGGGGGAACAGGGGAGGGGGACAGAGAGACTGATTTTAGGACCAGTGCCTAGAAATTAATGCAGAGCAATTAAATTTACATCTCATAAACTATAAGCATTTGGTTGAAATCAGTGGGATTGCCAAAAGTATGTTAATATCTTGGAGAAGGAAACCCACTGGGTCTTAAAAAGCATTCCAATGGCATTTTGAAACTTGTGTCATGTATTAAATTACCAATTATATTCAACTGTAAGTTAATTCATAGAAAAATTTACAGTGAATGAATACTTTGCCCATGTCTTTAAGTTAGCTTCTTCAGTTTGGTTTGCAAAATAGAAAGCTTCACAATCTCAATGAAGAGTTATTTTTCCATTGAAAGAGAGAATTTGTTTTTACATGGTTTAGGTGCAAAAAGGGTTGTTTTCTATTTGCATATGATCACATTTTACACTCAAAAAATGTATTTTTGCTTGTAACTTCAGTACAGTTAAAAATAACCCCCACCTCTATTTATTTTCTAGTTAGAAATGAGGTGAAAAGAACCATTTTTCATGTTATTGGCAGTATAGTCTTTTACACCTAGGTCATATACACTGTGAAGTTTTGTAATGGCTCTGAGGAATAAGTGGTAGAAAAGTTAGTAAGAAAAAACTTCTGTGATTCTAAAGCGCTTCAAGGAGGCATAGGTGATGTCAAAATTAAACGTAAGTGACATAAGGCAATACCAAGAACAGGAAATCAATTACTTACGCTGTTAATTATCAGAATAGTTCCCAGCATGTTTTTCTCCCAGATCAACTAGATCTTTCCTAAACTATAAGTGCTTGGAATAAGCCGCCCTATTTTGGAGGCTGTGAGAGTTTATTTGTACAGTTGTGGTGGATCTGTCTGGTTTTTGGCCTCTGAGCTACAGCTGTCCATAGTCCCAGTCCATTTCGATGGGCTTTGCTCTTTAGCAGAGCTGGAGTAGCTCCCCTGCCTACAGGCTGGGGACTGTGGGTCGCCTCCAGGGCAATGTAAGCAAGCTGGTGAGGAAAATGGGCCTTGCTGTACCATTTGGAAAAGGGTAGTTTTTCTTACCCACATGTTCTCCATAAGCCGGAGCACCTTGTGTTTTATATAAACTGGTTGCCTCAAGGTAAAGGGGCTTTGCTGAATACGGAAAGATCAGCAAATCCTATTGGCCTTTCCCCAAGAATAAATTAAAACTACCACCAGCAGCCCCTCAAAACCAAATAAGAAGTTCAGCTAATGATATACCTCTGTGGCAACATGCCCATAAATTCCCTTGGAGTGGGAGGCTGGGAAAGATGCCAAAATAAGTAAATTCCACTCTAGCCACCTGCTTGCCTGCCCAAGGTACCTAAGCAGAAACAAGATGAATGGTAACTCCTGTGACTGATTGCAGTCAGACACCAGAACTTTGAAGTGACCTATTACCCCCTGGATCACTGTAGTGGGACGGTATGGCGCTTTGAGCCTCTTGGAATACAGAGCCTGGTGGTTGCTTCTTTGATTAGAGAAGGCTCTCATTTCTGCTGCCATTCCACACTACCTGTAATAAAATCAAGAGCTGTCTCTAAAAAAATAAAAACAAAAAAAGATTTCTGAAACAAGTCTTCCCCAGGAAGCCAGTGCTGGTCCGTTTCTGGTCCAGCCAGTTCTGCCCCAGCTCGCATGCAAGGCTTCGCAGTGCCGGCCATTAAGTAAGGCATTTGAATTTAGACTCGGACACCTATGCGGACAGGTCTGCCCATGGGCTGAGTGTCTAACACCCTTTTCAACCAATGCAGTCCATT